AGCTCCTCACCTGCTGAATGTGAATAATAAGCATTTAGATGATAAATTAAAGTTTAAATTACACTGCTTGTATGGTAATGAGACTATCCAAAGTAGTAACTAATTGCTGATTTGAGATACATGCAGCTAATCCCAGCACTGTTAGCAGCAACTTTTTTGTTCCCATTTGAAAGCAAAACAACTAAAATGTTGCCAGGTTAGCTTGGTCACTTCAATTAAAAACAAAAGTCTCCTTGACCCAATGCCCATAACTCAGTTTGCCTCTCTTGATATAACAAGGACCAAAATTCAGCTTGCAACTTGCCTTGCATAGTTGTGACCCAGGAGTGGAAACAAAGGAGCGACAGGAACTGTGTCTACCTTGGTGGGTATCTTTCACAGAGAAGTGGCAACTCTTACAATGTGTGGGTAGATCCTATAAAGCTCTAACTGAACATTAGACATAATAAGAAAACAACCTACAATGAAGTAAGGTGGCAATTAATTTTACAACTCAGGTAATTTGCCCAGCAATCAACTATTTGCACAAAACTCAGTCGTGGTTCCCTCGCCTGTGCAGACACAAAACAAACAGACAGCAACGCTGTCATTAAGACCTAACAGAGAGCTGCAACATATACAAAGGCTCATCACCGCTCATTAAAAACTCTTCTTGTTTAAGGGAGTGAGACAGCAGCAAAGGGCAGCCGTCAGAGGTCTCATCACCTCGCAAAGTGTTTAAGCTACAGCATGCAGCAAGGTGAACAGGTGCAAGCACAAGCCTCATGGCACTGCAACCTAATCCTGCCACGGCCGCCCCACCGCGCCGGGCAGCAGGGACAGATGGTGCAGGGAGCTGCAGAGCCGCCCTGCGGGGACGTGCAGGGGCAAGCAGCTGCCCGGCCCAGCGGGAGCGCTCCTCCCTCATCACCCGCTGCGCCGGCTCCGTGCAGCGTCCATCACAGCAGGGCCTGGCAGGGCAGCCTTGAGGTTTCCGCTGGGCTCTGACGGCCCTTCTCAGATCGGCTGTTCCTTCCAGTTACAGTTTTAGTTAATGGAGAATGAATTATTTGGGTGTCTTAAATTCCCATCTTGTTTTGTAAAGGTCCAATTAATGCTGAGCTAAGTAGCTCCAAAGGCTCCCCGGCTCTCCTCTGCCCTAAAGGGATCCAATTAAAATGAGACACTAGTCAAAATGTCAAACCACAATCATTTTTATAACCATTGTGTAACAGATCTGTAGCTACATATAAACCACGCCATCACTGAATAAACCACGCAGTACTTGGAAACCTAAAGCCTAAAATGCCCTCACTCAAGATGCAGCCTCCCCTGTCAACCAAAAGCATGTCCAGAACTTACAGGAAATAATAAAAGTCACATTTCCCTTTACAGGACAATTGAAACCAAAGAATATCATGAAACATGTAAATCAGGCAATAATATATAGACAATAGCAAGAGCTTAAATGCAGAGAAGACAGTTCAGAAGGTCTGACATTTGAGGACCTGAAGGATGTCTGAGCCAGCACAGGCAGGGGCTGGTGAAGCCACCCCATGCAGAAATGCAGAAATGAATCTGTTTTGCTTCCAGAGCCGTGCAGGCACAGTGACAGTCACTTCAAGGGACTACACAACTGTGGCACATTTTAATCTGGAATCCTTGTGATCCACTTACACATTCTTTCTGTATTAGCTTACTCAAACCTTTAGAGAGCATATAAGGTCTCTGTCACACACACACATCCCTCACTAGCTAAGATCTTTCTCTTGATCAACTTTCTTGCTTGAAAAATCCTAACTCTTTCATTCTAGCTCTGAAAGTATTTCATCTGGCTGTGGAAAAGAAATGGGTATTAAATCATTCCTGAATGGGAGACTAAATTAAAAATGGAGACAGGTCAAGATTTCAGATGCGGGTTTGTTTTTAATGAGCTCTAAGTCTAACGGAATTCAATTAATCTTCTTGACTTCTGCAGAAAATCGCCCTGCTCTTTCCCACCAGTCAAACAAATTTTTCCCAGCCAAAGCAGCAGGATCCCTGGGTACTTGGTCTGAGCACAGGAAGGCAACACTGCTTCAAAGGGGACTCAACTTTATTCTTTTTTATTTTTTATTTAATCTAGTTGCCCTTGAAATGAAAATTCCAAATTTTCCACTCACTTTGAAGCTGAATTTCAGCAGCAGAGTGAGGGATTAGAGGAGCATGAGTCTTAGGAATGGCACATTCCTTTGGGGAAACACATCCAGGGTCACTGGTCTTCATGCAACACCAAGGAGCAGCAAAGGAGCTGGTCGGACAGCAACCCATGGAGGTGCCTGGGACAGCAGGGAGGACATGGCCACCAGCACTGGCTGCTGCTGGCCCTCTCTGCTTCTCAGACCACTGGTGTCCCAGGGTGGGAAGATCCTACCAAATACTGCACCCAAACTGCTGGATCTGTGCAGAAGAATGGTGTGAAAAGCAAATCTCCCTTTGGGAAAGCTGCCACACAACTAGTGTGTTTCTCGTATCTGTAGTGCTCTGTAAGCTGCCAAGTTCCTCTCCCTCCATCATTTTGTGGGGGAAAAAAAAAAAACACAAAAAGATCTCCTTTAGACTACAAATCACATAGGAAATCTCACAAGAGATTATTTTTGTCATACGGTTTCATGTCCTTCTGTCCTTCCCACCTGTGATATGAACAGAAAAAAAGATCTTTTTATTTCTATTTGTGCATTAGTTGAGAATTGAAATGTGAACATGTCTTGTCCTGCAACCCTGAGAAAAACGAAGGCTTGAGTATTTCCGCCAGGCATAAGGAAAGAGAAACTAAGATCAGTGAACACAGTAGGAGTGCAGTGGCATTTCTGCCTGACTGTGGCAGGTAGGTTCAGTGCAGCAGTTTTCATACTTAAGCTTTTCCAGGCAGTCACCACTCCAGAGGGTCTGAGGCACTGCAGTGAATGGAGGGAAAAGCTGAAGAGGGGCTGAAGTACCGCAGTGTGGTATAAGCTGGTAAATGTCTTTCTAAACATATTGTCAAAAGTGAAAAAGACAGAGTACCAATAAACAATGGTTTTCACCCAGAAGCAAGCTGTCTGAGCTAGGAGAGGAAGCTCAGGAGAATGAGGGCAGAATTATCGAGAGCAGTTTGCACAGCCCTGAAACATATTCGAGACATTAAACTATCAACGTTTGCTCTTCCTGGGCCTCCCAGTGTGACTTTCCATGATGCCGGCAGTGCAGAGAAACAATGTGCGCTTCTACAGACTGCCATTTGTGCCCCTCAAATTAAACTCCTTTTTTTGATTGCTTATGATTACCTTCTAAATAAGTGATGTGTGCCAGGCTTGTCCTGGGGTTATGTAACTCGATTTACTGAGTACTCAACATTTACTGTTCAGCTGAAGTTTGCTTAGTAATACATAACTAATTGTGTGCAAATAATCAGAGAATCATCACATAGAACCATAGAATAGCTACGGTCGGAAAGGACCAACCCCCCCTGCCATGGGCAGGGAACACCACACTAAACCATCTCACCCAAGGCTCTGTCCAACCTGGCCTTGAACACTGCCAGGGATGCTCCATTCTCCACTTCTTTGGTTAACCTGTTTCCTGCTATCTTAACGCTTAGGAGTGAAAGGGGAAACCCAGCAGACCAGGAAAAAAGGTCAGGAGAAGTGAATTTGAGAGGCAAAAATATGCTGTCAGCAAAGCGGGAGTAGATGGAGAGAATGGATAGGGGCCACGAGGATGATAATAGGGCTAGAGCACCTCCTGTATGATGACAGGCTGAGAAAGTTGGGGCTGTTCAGCCTGCAGAAGAGAAGGCTACGTGGAGACCTCATAGCAGCCTTTCAGTATCTGAAGTGGGAGCTATAAGGATGCTGGGGAAGGACTCTTCATCAGGGACTGTAGTGATATGATAAGGGGCAATGGATTTAAACTTAAACAGGGGAAGTTTGGATTGGATATAAGGAATAAATTCTTTACTGTGAGGGTGGTGAGGCACTGGAATGGGTTGCCCAAGGAACTGGTAAATGCTCCATCCCTGGCAGTGTTCAAGGCCAGGTTGGACAGAGCCTTAGGCGACATAGTCTAGTGGGAGATGTCCCTGCCCAGGACAGGGGGTTTGGAACTAGATGAGCTTAAGTTCCTTTCCAACCCTAACTATTCTATGATTCTATGATTGTAGTGCTTCCCTGAGTTTTTTGACTGAGATGGGACAGATTCTTCAAGTACCCGGTCTGTGTCATGGCCAGGTGTTTCTTCACCCAGAGAACACTCTGGACTACATTCTGAGCTTGGAAAAACTGCCTATCTCTATGCGTCTTAACAAAAGGTAGCCTCCTACAGATCTTTTTGCCCTATAGCAGCTCCCAGAGTGAAGTCCAGCAGAGCTGTGAAGGAAGGTACCAAAGAAGTTAGTCCCATTTATCTGAATCCACACACTATCACAATGTCCTTCAGCAGTTTCACTGATGTTTGTGCACTGACCACTAGCCCAAATCTCCAAGCAGCATAACTAAAAGGCAGACCCAACCTCTAGAGGAACAAAGTCAACCTATGAATCACAGGCTCATAGGTTGGCTGCAGTAGAGAAAAGCTTCTGCATAAGTTCCTCAGTTAGCCTGGGCAAGTGCTGAACGTGGCAGCATGGGTTTGTTACATGCCAGGGAGCTGATGGATGACATGGTGCAAGTTACGTACACTCTCAGTAAACCATCTGAGGGTCATCAGAGGGTGAGTTACTCATTGGTGAAATACAGAAAGCAGAACTACATTTAATAAAGAAATGTTAACCTCTGGTCACAGTCTCACCACTTGTGGTTATGTACACGCACAGAAGGAAAGAACATCAAACAGGTTACACACTGTAAAACTGCTTTCTAAGCTCAACCTGGTATGATGTCAAACCTAATCCTTTTCTGGCATGTGCGTCTTTATATACAGTTCTATTTCTATATGAAAAAATAATTACGGATTTGGGAAAGCAGTGGGTCCTTACTGCAGCACTTCTTCCTTTTCTGTTACAGGAATGACCTGCCAAGCTCGAAGTTCATACATTACGAGTGAGATCCTGTGGGGTTACCGTTTCACCCCTGTCCTCACTCTGGAGGATGGATTTTATGAAGTAGACTACAACAGTTTTCATGAAACATATGAGACCAACACACCAGTTTACAGTGCCAAAGAGCTGGCAGAGATGGCCAGCCGAGCAGAACTACCCCTGACATGGTCAGTTTCCAGCAAGCTGGACCAGCATGCTGAGCTGGAAACTGAAGAGGAAGAAAAGAGTCAAGAAGAACAGAATGAAAGAAACGGTGATGTGGCCAACTTGGAGAATGAGTCCAAAGTGTAGAAGCACCAGAAGCATAAAGGCCACACCACCTCCTTTATCTTCTACTTCTTTGCTCCCTTTTTCTTTCTCCAACATGCCTTTTTTTTTTTTTCTTCCTTGTTATTCTTAAGTCTGGGAAAATAAATACTTAAGTTGTGAAACATCTCCCTGCCCAGTTTAAACAAGAGATTCACAGACTAAGCAAAGGCATGGGTTAAAGCTGCAATACCCATTACTTATGGTGGAATCTCAATCCCCACCCTGGTAATGACTCCTGACTTCCTCGGCACCTCTCTGTGTTCAGACATCCAGGTTTATTCACACCAACAACAACTAAAAAACCCAAAAGCAGTGGGAACATATACAAGGGATTTAAAAGGAAAGACGAGTTAATGCTCATCAAAGTAATGGGCCTAGGCTCCAGTTTTTATGCATTTCAGGACAGTTTCCTGAACTCGGTGACAAGCCTCTATGAAATGGGCCTTGCAGCTTTAAGATGAAGGTGAGCAGAAGGATCTGCAACCCAACATAATACTGTACATATGCCTTATGTAATTACTTTCTCTTTACATTTAGTAATAAACATAGCATGTACAAAAGTACTGTAGTAAAGAACTTCTAAATAATGTACACAGATGTGTAATTAATGTAGGTTTAGAAACAGACTTCTAGAAGTATTGGGATGCAAAAACTAACTACCAACCAAGTAGGCATTTCTCTTCAAATATTTGGAGTGTAACATTGACTTTTTTCCCCTATCTATGGCTCTCCTAGTGCATGACATTTTCTTCAGTGTACCAGACTGGCAGCTATTTAGAGTACCTCACTGTTTACCAAACAGATCGTTTCACTGACTCTAAAAAGCCATAGGTCTGGGAGAGGGCAGGGTAGATAAATTTATAATTTATTAGTAATTACAGATTACTGCTATACTGTGAAAATGTTTACAAATAAGGCAAACCATTCCTGGTTATTTTTTTGGCAGTTCAACCTAAAATCTAGGCTGTGGCAAACTCGTGGCAAACCAGAATTTCCTGTATACTCTTAATATAGCAAGCATGTTTCATGTGAAGGTATTATCCTTTATGTGCAATATCTAGGGAAACTAATCCCTTCTCCCCACCTAACTATGGGATTTCAGCAGAGTAGTTTGCTACACAGACAACACAAGCCATTGAAAACCAAATGTTGCACCTTAGGAAGTTTAGCTACCTAGCTGCAAATGAAACAACTGAATTTCACCTGAAGCCAAAATCAATGAAATTCACTTGTTGGCAGCACCGGTGCTTGGCCAGTCCTGCAGGGTCACAAATGGTGTGACATCCCTTGGTACATGCCTCAACAGGGTTTCTCGGATAAACACAAGGTTCCTGCCACCCATGCTCAGGAGAGTAGTTCCCTAATGACTTTCTTCACCTTAAGTTAGCTCCTTGGCTGTTGTAAATCAGTGTAAATCCTGTACATTTGACAACTTTAACGGGGCAGTGATATTTGCATAGCTTACACACGAGTGGGGAGCTGAGGTGTACAGTCACAGATCCACGGACATGCTCCCTAAGGGGCTGCTCACGCAGTGCGGCATTGCCCAGTGCTAAGGACCGCTCAGTCAGGCCCAGCGTGCATAAAATGCTACCTGCTGAAAAAGCATTGCTTTTGGTGGGCTTTCGCTTAGGCCCATCGCAAAGAACATTTCTGTCAGCAAAGGAGAAGAAGCTGCAGCAGCCTTAATTTTGTTTTTCTTTTTATATCTGTCTACTCCAGCAAGAAAGAACACACTGAAGAGAATCCGAAGCATTTTTTTACAGAAACATTTATGCTAAAATAGAAGAGCAAAAAAACAACATAACCTCAGGAGAAACTTGGTGGGCAGGTGGGAAATTTGCACTGTGATACAGCTTTCACATTAAATTCACACCTATTTTCCTTTTTCTTTCTTTTTTTTCTGGAAACAACTGCCCCTTTCTAATTTTCACAGAGTGTGGCTAATCAGTGGGAGTTTCTTTCAGATCCTCTAGCTGTGCTTCGTGCTGAGGCAGTCAGAGTGGATTGGGGGAAAAGGCTTGCACACTAGGGACTGGCAGATCAGGCTGGATAGTTTCAGCTCAGTATTTTCCCTAAAAGGCTTTCACAAAGCAGCATGATGTAAGGAATGGTGCAGAATATAGATTTTTGTTCCCTCCACCCAGGATGGCCGATTCCATTAACTTGGTAAAGGTTACTTACACTTAATATCTGTGAGATAGCACTCATCTGGCTACAGACCTTTCAAAGCTCATTCTTCTGCCCCAGCATCAGCAGCTGCCAAGTGTTCCAGTTCATCCATCACAGTCCACCCATGAGGCTACCCATGAGGGGTACTGTTTTTAACAAAGGGTGTCTCCGCAACTCCACTGGAAGACAGAAGCCTTACAGCAGAGGAGTCAGGGGTAACACGGGATCGGTAGCCACCAGCAGCCCACGCATGTCAGTCCTAGCAAAAGGTGCATGAGCTGAGAGCAAAGCACTCCTCTGAGGATAAACCTGCTTTTCGCTCTTGTAATTTACTGGGCCACTCTATAATTCATTGCTGCAGTTGAACAAAAGTTTGTGTTAATCAGAACAGCAGCTCAGGGCCCTAATTAAACCTTTTTTCTGTCCTTTAGCACAAAAACCAGACTTTTCCGCCACTGGGGCATGTGCATGTGTAAGCTATAATTTTGTGAATAGGGCACTTAAAGCTTAAGGTGTGTGTGTTTGTCTCTTTCTCTCTCTCTTCCCCCTCCCTGTATTTTATTGTCTTTGGTATTAATGTAGTAAGGACTGTAAAGTTTATGAAATCTCATTTTTGTAACATAAGCTTTAAAACAAAATAGAAGCCTCCAAAGCTTTCAACGAGGAAGCTTCACGTAAACTTTGTACTAGAATGTCCCTATCAAACACCTCTATTTTTCTACAATGATTGATTAAGCAGTTTAACAATGTATTTTGTGTCAATGATTTCAACTGAACTGGTAAAAAGAAAATTAAGAATTGAATGCTGTTAATTAACAATGGATTTTCAAGCCGTATATACCGAGTGGTGTTTTCATTAACAGTAAATTACTTAACCTGGGAACTTCATCTTATCCTAAAGTAATGAAATACTATGAAATATCAGTGCCAATCAATATTACTATGAAATATCAGTGCCCTATGGGAATATTTTTGGCAAATCACATTTAAGGAAGATGAATAATGCAACATCTTAATATAATTGGCTACATAATCAGTCCAAGAGCCATTACATCTTTATACACTTCACTGATACATTTTGATGCCTTTTTCACAGAGTGTCTTGTGATTTCCAGGAGCAAAAGGACTTCCAGAGGTAAATGTGAGCTCTCAGTAATCTACTGCAGCTCTCAATTTGTCCTTCGATGAACAGAAATGCTGCAAAGGTGCTTTGTACAGACTTCATGCACTGCTGCACAGCCCTCACTGGCTCCTTCTCACTTTTTAAGTTTCTTTAAGTTTTTTTTAATAACACTCTAATTGTCTCTCTCCTGCCCAAGTTTCCAAACTGGGTATTTCAGGTGTTGATAACAGACATAGATGTGCTGCTTTTAACAGTGCAACACAAATTTGTACCAGGCAACATTCTGACCTTCAACAAATACTTTAAGCTCAGGCTTATTAATAAATACCACGTTACCAGGATTAAAATGAATTTCAGAAATTATTTCAAAATAAACATAAAAAACCGCAAACATTCTCCTAGATGTGTGTAGCTGTTATGATCTACATCTATGCCCTACAAAACCACAGCCATTGTCACTGATGTGAGCCACCCTAACAAATGTAACTTGCTGCAAGAGCGCAGGCACCTGCAGCATATGGAGTGAGGATTGCACAGTCAGAGCTCTGTGCATCCCTCTTGCCAGCACAGCAGAGGAAGGAGGCGGTGTGCTAGAGAAGGCTCCCCAGGAGGCAGCTGACAAACCAGGTGAGACAAAGTGCTGGCAAATACAAAAGGAAAAAGCTTGCTGGATGGTTTGAAGTTAAGTTCAAGGCAGACTCTGGCTTTAACTGGTGTGCAGAGTTGCCTAGACCTGGAGTTGTCCGTGTTCTTCTGCTGCAGTTAAAGAGGAAACTCAGGCCTTTCAAAACCAGGAATGAACTCACTCTTCTCTTTTCAGCCACAGGACCGAAGTTCCCATTTCACTCAGCTGCACACATCATGCTACATAGGAAAAGGAAGACCTGTTCTCTTCAGCCCAGGGAGGTTCAAAGCCACATCCCACTTCTCCCAGGAAATTAACCCTGCCATAACAGCAACAGCAGAGCCCCAGCCACTATGCCAAGGGCACAAAGAAACTTTAACTCCTTGTGTTTGTAACAGAAGAATGGAAAATTCCTCATTCCCTGGGTCCATAACAGCCTCCATCCTACCCATCAGGGTCTTCCCTGGCTATATGGCAGACCTCAGGCTGGGGAAGGCATGGGGAGCAGGTTTCTCACCTCCTGAGCCACTACAGCCAGCAGTCAGCTGCTGTCTGCAGAGGTGCAGCACGATGGCCTTCGCCTAAGTTTCTGAATGCAACCAGCTACCACATCTCCTAGGGGGTCAAATTCCACAAGCCCTGGGTTTGATGTGCTCTGAACATCATCACCCACCAGACCAGCCTCACTGCAAGGTAGAGGTGGAGGGAAGCCAAATTGTTTTATCTCACTCCAGCTTCTCTGTCAGATGGGTACAGCAGCATGCAGCCCTGAGAGGATGCACGGTGTTACACCCAGAAGGGGTATCTGTGACCCCTATCTTTTGCAGACTTGAGTTTAATCAAGTGGTGAATTTATACCACTTCCTCCAGTTATTTAATGTGGATGTGAATTAGAGGATCAATGTTGAACATGTGGTTTGTCTACATGGCAATGGGATGTTTGGGCGCCTCAGGTAAGACATTTCTTAGCAGCTACCACCAGAGCTTCTGATAGTGAAACACAAACTTTTAACTATTATGGTACTCACTGTCCATCAAAAAAACTTTCTTTTTGGAAAATCAGTCTCCTTAACAGCCACATTACATCACTTGGGCACTTTTTAGGCTATAAATCAGACCTAATAAAGCAAGAACAAAAGTTGGCTTCTCTTCCACTCTTATTCCTTCAGCTCATAAAGATGCTGTCTGGAAACACACACTTG